CGCTCTCTCATTCCTTTCTCCTCGTCATTCTGCGAAAGAAGCAGTCTTCTGCTCATTCGTCGCTGTCAGCGGTGTCATGACAGAGGGTAACGAGGAGGACTCATCGGACTGGGTTCATACTTCGCGTCAGCGCTCACCAGCTTTTCATGCGTACGCCGGCGTCAGCGACTAGGAAAGTACTGATGTCGATCTGGCGAACGCCTGCTTACAGGACCTTTTTCGCGTGCGCTTTTGAACTTGAGCAAGCTGCCCGCGAGCACTCTGCTGTACGCTGGTGGACGCTGACGCGAAGTATGAACGCAGTCGCGGCAACCCTGACATCGCCACCACGTCACCACCACCATTTTTATACGAGTTTATACTTTAGAAGAAAGGTTTTTTCATCTTTATTGATCCCGCCTTGAAGTGTTCACTCAATCAGCCCTTTATGGGCTGTGAAATATTGTGCGGATCGTCATGTGGTCATAGATGAGTCATTATGATTACACTAAGTGTGTCTTGCTTTCAGATCGAAGTTCTTCTGGAACAGCGTTTCATATGGGGGCCGGAACAGAGGACGAGAAACCTTCTGAGCTTCTTCTTAAATGCCTCGACAACGGTCGAGTCGACGTCCTCTGCTCCATTCTTTCACAAATAAGTAAGATGGTTCGGCACTATTGAACTATTCCTACCCCAAAAACTCAAAAAAAATTTTCGCTGAAACGTTGCCTATAGGTGTAATTCGATGCCTGATCACGAATATCACATTCGTTTCGAGCGCTGGCGTCATTTGGCGCCATTATGCGCCAATTTGGCGCCCACCACTTTTTTCACCAAAGTCGATGAAAACTTGCAGCATGATGGGGTTAGTTGAGGTCCTGATTACGGATCCAAATTTATTTTAGGCACTGGCGCCAATGACGCCAGCGCCATATTGCGGCATAATGCGCCAAACTGGCGCAGGCGCTGAAACCACTGGGATATTTCGCGATGAGGATGACGATTTCACTGCGGGGAGGGACAGATGTGTAAGTTTTCATCAACTTATGGTGAAAAAGGTGGTGGGCGCCATACGATTGGCGCATAAACCGCGTTCATAGCTTGGCGCACCTGTGAACATATGCAGATAGATGCCTGAAAGCGTGAACAGAAAGTTGCGGAAAGTGGCAGGAAATGCAGATAAAGTGGCGAAGATGGATTACTATCGGTCTGCGTTTTCGTATTTTCTGCAAGATCCGCAACTTTCCCGCACTTCTGTAGTTTCGCATGTTCCTGCAATTTCTTTCAATCAATATGCTATACAATGCTTTTTCGATTTGCCGCAGAGCATCGCGCAGTTTTTCATTTCTGCGAGTTCTGCATTTCGTGATGGTCGTGAGCTTTAATTGACCGCGGCGCTAATGGCGCGCAAATGGCGCCAGACGCTGCGAATACGGAGTGTGATAGCTTGCAGGTGATCAGGACTATCGAGCTACATCTATTAGGCAACTTTCAAACAATTTTGTTGTGCAGTGTTTTTGGGCGAAAGCTAGGAATGGCTTTCAAATAAATGCCGATGGTTTTTGTCAGCTTATTGAAACATTCTGAATCAATGTGGATTTTCAGAAAACAAACCGGATTTCCATGATCAAGTCGATGTATTGTGTTGTGATGAAGGAACGCTACTTCATCGTGCCGTTGGATTGGGTAAAACACTTTTGTATTTTTTCTCTGTGATCTCTCCTATTGCACATGGGGTCTCAGATCTAACAAGCTCGGTAAAACGCAGTGGGCGCGATTGCTGGAGGCGGGCGGTTTTGCCATTCGTTTTAGGTTGTGTCATTGGTGGGAGGGCTGCGAAAGGGCTGTCACACCCCACTCAGCCCTTCCATCAGTGACGTTGGCGACAACCGCCCGCCCGCAGCTATCGTGCTCACTGCCTTCTAGACCACGTTCAGACTTCGCGATCGGATAGCGCGATCATGACTGCAGTTTTCTGCCGTCAAACAGTACACCGCTGCAAGGCCGCAGTTCAGTGGCACTGTGTGAACGCAGGCCCAATTTGAATCCTATGTATCGACCCCGCAGTTTGTGCGCCGATCGATACCTGTACTGTACTTTTCACTCGAAACGCTGGCGTTTTGCTCAAAACACTTGAAATGCTGGGGTTTTCGCCGAAAATCGGTACGCACCCTTACTCGTTCGCCCAAAACGCTCCAAGCGCTCAAAACGCCTGCGACAGGTGTGAACGCACCCTGAGAGATGTTTTTTTTTCAAGATTTAGTGGCGCTGCAGTGACTTTTGAGCGCCCACTGTCCCTCTTATGTTGATGAAACATTTCTCGCAGGTGTGAGACCTGCCTTTTACTGAAGCCCGTTCCTCCCTCTCTTTTTTTCTGGTGCTACCGGAATTATGCTTGAGAGTATTACCGATGTGCTGTTACTGAGACTGTTTTAGATTCTGCTGATTTTGTGAGTGCTCTTCTGTCGAACGGGACAAATCCTTGTGTGCAGAATGAGGAGGGAAGAACACCTTATCAAATGTGCAAGTCGGACGTTGTGCGTAATGCGTTTGTTCAAGAAGCACTTCGTGCCATCACGTTATCAAAGTGAGTTTGTTCTTACGGAGCAATTCACACAGGAGGAAATTTTCATTTTTTTTCTTGTGATATTGTTACACCTTGGCTATGCCGGCGAACTCTTGCACATGTTCTTCCTGGTGGCATGCACCTTCTCTCTGCTTCAGAATTGCTTCGTTCTCGGCCGCTTGCTGCAAAGATCAAGCATTATTCTAAAGTGATATGATGAGCCTACCGAGACTATAGTTCCACCAAAATCACATTAAGCTTCACCAACTAGCGAAAGTTGTCTTTTACCTCTAATTTCGCTATATACCTATGTCTACACTTATCCAACTGCTTGCACCTGTTAAACAGTGCTTGGTCAGGGCGCTTTTCCCCCTTTTTTTATTTCTTCGTAACATCTTCATGGTTTTACCATGAAGGCTGTGTACCCACTTCCTGTAATTCTCCTTACTCAACCCTCCACTTTTTTCCTCTGATTTTTTTTCTGTGA